ATTTAACAGATTATAATTGTTTATTTGTATTTTATTCATAAGAAAACTACAGAATATATTATGATTTTAACAAAAGTTTTAATTAAATCGTCAAATTTAGTTAAATAAATAAAATTAGAAAAAGCATTACTAGTAATAACTAGTAACTTGTAGTAACTTTTACGGAAATTTTATGGAATTACGGCTTCATGGGACATAAGGCCGGCGTCACATAGAACCCGTAATCCGTAATCCGCACCGAAAGTCCGCAAAAGTTACTAGGGATTGCGTCCGTAACGTTAGGGGCTGAGCACAATGAAAAGCACAGGCAATAGGAACAGGAAATAACATAGAAGAGAAAGAGAAAAAAGCTATTTCTCTCTCTTTCTTTCCTATATTATTCCCTGTTCCTATTGCCTGTGCTTTTCATTGTGCTCAGCCCCTTACGCGAGCCCGAAAGTTGAGACGAGCCGAGATTATCGGATCTCAATAACGGCTGTGCCGATTGAGTTGATAATAGGCTCAATCGATAGCGCATACCCAAATTACATAAAAAAGTATGCTTGTTTTTACTGTAGGTGCTGTAGAAAAAAAGTTATAATAATCCAAATTCGAAATGTTGACATATTTGTCATATATTTTTTAGGTTTTCTAGGATGTCCGGCTAAAATGTCCAGTTTCCGATTTCTGACGTTAGGTGCGCTGATGGCGCTTAGAAGCCGCGCGTCGCGCGCTTACGATTTGACATTTTTACATATAACCAGATCAGAAAGTGTTACATAGAACAGAAATATTAAACCTTGATATTTAATTTTATTTATTTTAGACAAATCATACACTAAAGTCTCGAAACATGTACTTTTTTGACAGAATGTATGGTAAAATTTAAATTTATACAATCACACCATTTATCACTATGCCTTATGTGACAATTGTTTAGAGACTTTAGTGTATGATTTGTCTAAAATAAATAAAATTAAATAGCTCAAAGTTTAATATTTCTGTTCTATGTATACTAAATTAGTTCCAACAATATTTATAATTTCCAGTCAATTTTATTACTATCAAAACAAAACAGTGTTTTACCTTTCAAAAAGATTGTATATATTAAATTTAAAAAAACTGTTGTATATATATTATTAAAAAAAAAAATAATAATATCTATCAAAAAATTACCTTTTTTAAAAAAAGGTAAAAAAAAGGCGCCAAGTACACGCTCTTGTCATAACTAAAACAAAACAGTATTGTTTTACTTTTCAAAAAAATTGTCGTATATATTAAATCTTTCAAAAAAACCTATATATTAAATAGTATATATTAAATCTTTCAAAAAAAACTATCAGGAAATGGCACCAAGTGGGACTAAAGAACTATGAAAAAACTTGTACACTATTTCTATAAAACTCTTCTATAAAACTCTTGTACATAAAGCTGTCGTATATATAATTAATTATATTATATACTGTATTTTATCATAAAATATAGTATATAAATAAAAATATTTAATAAAAAATTTAAAGATTTAATA